CCCCCCCGCCCCCCCCAGCCACCAGCCACCGGCTTGCACCCTGATCCACTTAGGAGTTTTCTAATCCTCGCCCGGGCAAAGGGCAGGCTGTCGGTCTAAGCTCCCAGGCATGGCCATTGCCACTGCTAATGCTCTCATCTCTGTAGTAAAATCCGTTAAGTAGGTAAGACCACTTTCTAGATGTGGCTGACTGGAGGATCATGGGTGGTCACCCAGTCCCAACAGAAACAAATACAAACACCATGTGTTTGGCCAGCTGCACAGGACAGGGAGAGAGCTGGTGAGGCAGTGACACCTCAGATGGCAATTCTAAACACATTTCATTGTACTGTTTCATCATAAAACATGGATTTTTTTTTTCTTTCAAATTGCAAGTAAACGCATAGATGTTTATCTGTGGAAGTCCTGGCACTGCCTGTATGAGTTAGGGCAGATCGCTTAACATGCCCGGACCTCAAGTTCCCATCTGTAAAACCAGGGGGTGGAACTGGAAGACCTCTAAGGCACCTATTGTAAAATTCTAGAGTTCAAGTGGGGTGAGTCTTCCCCAACATTGGTGTGAATCACATAGGTGATTATTCAACACGGACTCAAAGCAGAGAGACCGTTTCTCTCACACCCAAGGCTCACCTTTTCCACGGTCGTGTGTTCTTCATTGCTGACGCTTGGCTTTCTTGATTCATTTTTAGACCTGCTCAGCCTTCTGGATACTTTTTCTCTGAGTAGCGTGGCATATCCAATGTGTTCATAGATGGGGTTAGTTGTCATTTTGGAAATGTACTCGGCAGCTTTTGTTTCTATGTACAGCGTGATCAGGCCATCTGTCACCAGATCATGAATGGATTCAAACCTCTTCTCGCCCACAAAATGTTTCCCGTCATGGAAGAGCCTGTAGTTTAAGGTCTGGTTTCCAAATCTGCCCATGAGAGAATGAGGGATTAAAACAACATTAGAAACGAGAACAATGAGAAGCAATAACAATAGCTAACTTAAAAATATATTTTTAGAGGCCAGCAGGTGGTATGGTGGTTAAGGTGCTGGATTCCCACATGGTCCACCATGGTCAAGTCCTGGACAAAGTAGCTTTACAATCATGCCGGGTGAGTATATGCATGAACCCCAAATCCTGAGAGGACAATGGAAGAGAAAGGATTGCAGCATGGCCATGCCCCGCCCCCACCCCCCCAGGACTTCTCACTTTCTCTCTGATGAGTGCGTGTGCCCTATGGCAAAAACAAAAACAAATTAAAGTTTATTTATTTCTTCTGAGAGAGAGAGAGAGAGAGAGAGAGAGAGGGCACCCCCAACAGGGTGCCTATGCTGTGATCCACCCCCAGTGCCAGCCAAGATTACGGGCACGCCCATGCCCTGCATGCTCAGGGAGGCCCCTGGTCATACACCAAGAACTAACTAACCAGCTCATGGTTTTTGAGCACGCACTATACGCCAGGTTCTGGGCTAAACACTTAACTATGATTTTTCTCCCTATTTAATTATCAGAGAGAATGTCTGAGACAAGTGTAATTATATCCCTGTTTTACAGCAGAAGCAACTGACACTGGAGATGCGGATCCCTGATGGTGGTTACACGCCTGAAATGAGGCCAAGGTGAGGCGTAACTCCAGGAAGACATAAGAGGTCATTTGATCTAGAAATCACGAAGCCACTGAGTCATTTTAACTGTGATTTGCAAAAGTCAGAGGGTAGCACCTGCTTGACAAGTATCTTAAAAACTTCCTCAGTGGGAACTAGCCACAGCCCTCTGAGGCTTCCTCCCCATGCCTGGCAGTGTCCTGTACAGGGATGCTACCACCCCGGGCCCTCGTGTCCCCTTACTATTGCACCTTTGGACACCACCCAGAGAAACTCATACCTCCCACCCAGTTAATACAGCAGAAGAGAAGTGACAGGGACAGCTAGCCCCAGCAACCTAAGCTGGAAGGTCAGCTGCATAACGGCATGAGTTCTCCTCTCTGGGCCTGCTTCTTCGTCTCACATCCCCCTTGGTTCTCCCTGGGACTGCTGGTCCCTGCTGCTGGGGTTGACAAAGCAGGCAAATATGGTCTACGGAAAGCAGCTGACAGCTTTTAAAGAACTTCCTCCTAGTCACCTCATCTAAGGGAGGTTCTAGACACCCCCAGCTACAACTTGGAACATCTCTTTCCATCCCTGCAAAGAGATGGGGCATTGAACACACTCGGCTTTGTGGGCCGGCCTGGGAAGTGTTGCTACTGATACTACCTCTTCTATGGAGAAAGATCTCCCCAACTGCAAACAGTTCAGACACCAGCCTTTGGAAGACAACCAGATTCTGACATCGAATACCTTCCCCGAACCTTATGAGATTGTGGAGAGAATCAGATGACATGGAATATTGGACCGAGGTTTGCCGAGAGCGGTAGAAGCAATGCCTTTCAGGTGTTGTAATGCTCAGTACTCGGGATTTGGGGGCCTGGATGGTGGTGCAACGATAAACACGGCACTCTGCAGGGTGCTGTCTCTCTGGCTCTGTCTCTCTTATTCATGGAAAGAATATAAACTCAAATTTAAAAAAAAATGCTGTGGTTTTGAGTACAAAGCTCAGGAGAACCCCACTCTCCAGGCTTGCTGGTATACTGCATGATGTAGCCACCTTGCCAAGTTCTGTGGGCCACTATGACTCTGGGGGGCCCACATGGAGAAAGTAAGGTCTTGCCAGGTGCACACCCACAGCTCGAAGTGCAGAGGCCCTTGGACAAGCACTGCTGGGAACCGAGGCTTGGACACTGCTCTTTCAACTAGCCTGGTGTTGCAGGCAGCGGGGTCTGTAAGAATGCTAACGTTCCAGGTAATTTTCCGGTTCGCTGTCTATCCACCAACAGAGACCCAGCGTCCACACCTACTGATAATATCTGCAGCTGAGAAAACGTATACTGCTTCTGCTCTTCTGACGGTGCTTTGGAAACAAAATGAAAATGCAATGTACAGTAGTAGGAAGAGAACGATGGTCTCTGTGCATGAAGTTTCTGTTTGGGAGGATGAGAAAGTTCTGGAACTGGCTGCACAATGAAAACGTACATAATGCCACCGAATTGCACATGTAAAACTGATTAAAAAGGTAATTGTATTTTACCACAATTGTTTTTAATCTTTTTTTTTTTTTAATTTGCTATAGGATATACGTACTTACTGGATAGAGATAGATGACAATGGGGGGGAGAGAGAGAGGGTAAGTGAGAAAGCATCCTCCAGGGAGGATGGCCACATCACAGTCCCTTCTTCTCTATTTTCCCCTGAGGACTTTGGGCATGCACATGCACGCACCCGCACCCGCACGCACACACACAGACACACACACACACACACACACACTCCGGATGTGTTTTTCAAGCTGCTGGGTCTGTCACTGGAACCACACGGTTGGTCATGTGGGATTCAGCTGCCTTTAACCACCACACTGGCTGGCCCACCACAATTTTTAAAACTGGGACAAACAGAAATAAAGTCATCTGTCTAAAACGAAAACAATGAGCGAGACGCAGCTCACCTGAGAGCTAACGTGTAGCACCCTGGCTGTCGCTGGCTCTCTCGAAGGATGTAGGCGCCCTCCACACCTCCGAGAAGCTCATCCGCCTGCTCCCGGGAGATGATCCCGTGAAACCTGAGGGGGCAAGACCGTCACAGCTCTGAACAGACCACGTGCCGAGTAAGTGCCACAAGAGCTATCCCAGAAAGGCTGTCCCCTGACGCGCCCCCTCCCCGGGGTCAGCAACCACCCACTTGGATGAAGAGGGAAGTGACTGAGACACATCTTGGATCCCAGCTTGGAACCACACTCAGCATGCCCTCAGACGGATCCGCATTCAAACAGGAAACACGGAAGAACCCCCAGTCTCCCTGACTTTCTGCTAGCCTCTTTGCTAAGCTGAAAAGTCGAAACAGAAAGCCAGGTTATGGCTCCTTTCTAACCATGGGGAATAACAAAAGAGCAATTACCACCTTAGCTCTCAGCTCAAACACAGGGACCTATGTATTATCCTGATTGCAAATGAACATTATCGATTAGCAACCTGCTTGTCGCAGGTGTGAGGTGTTGTTCATTGCAGAGGCACATTCTCTGCAAAGGAGAGTCGTTATTATCACCATTCTTGCAGGTCTTTAAATCTTGAGAGAAATCGCTGAGAAATATGTTTGGGAAATGTAGCTATTTTTCTTTTTTAAAGATAGTATTTCATCTTTTTTTTTTTTTCCATTTTAAAAATAAGGCACATGCACATAGAAGGGTGCAGGTATGGCCGATAACCACCACTCCAAACCGGACATCCTTGTCTGAGGCCTAGAAAGTGGGCAGTGATTCATGGGAGGGAGGCAGCGAGGTGAGAAGTGGGTCAGAACCCTCCTACTTTTCTAGTTGGCTTGTTGCAAAGATGGCTGCCCATGCCTGTCACAAGGACATTTGACCAACCCGAGTTTCAGAAGAAGGTGGGCAGGCTGGCGAGAGTGAGGCCAGTGCCCAGGGACCCCAGGCACCTCTTTTTTAAAATTACCTGGCCTTGGAGAACTTTGGGAAATAAGTCAGAAAATAAATAGTCTGGTCCAAGAAAAACTCCTTTACCTTTTTGGGAGGTGAGGGAAGGGAAGTCCGCTAGATAGGGTAGGGTTTGAGATTTTCCCTCCAGGAATACAAAGATTAAGTTGGACAAAACAAGATAAGATTCTGAAAGAAAATAGACTTAGTGCAATATTCATTTCCCAATTCTATATAGCCTTAAAAGTTGACCTTCCAAGCTGAATCTTTTTGTCCTTGGGTGGGGAGATCAAAGCAAGTGTCACTTAGTGTTTAAGAATCAAAATTGAGGGGACCAGCAGTTAGCGTAATGGCTATGTTGCTGGACTCCCATGTAGTCGACCGCAGTTCGCGTCCTGGACCCGGTGGCTTAAAACTCACGCCGGGCACATGTGTGTGCGTGCCCAAGATCCCTAGGGGAGAATGGAGGAGGAGGGATTGAGGCGTGGCCATGCCCTCTGGGGGGTGATTTCCCGCTTTCTGTCTCTCTGTCTCTGTCTGGTGAGCGCACGTGCCCTATAACAAAAAAACCTTAAAAAAAAAAAAAGAATCAAAATTGACTCCTGAAAGTCTAAGACAGTGAAAACTTGGGAGAAAGGCGTTTTCTGCCTTCTCAAATTTTGATTTTAAGCTCAGGAACCAATATCTGGAGGCCTGTCTGGAGAGAGGATAAGGCACTACAACCTGAGTGATCCTCTTGTCCAAAAGGTGACCAGTGCTAGAGGCAGGGAGTGTGTTCGTTTCGTGAGAAATCACCCCCGAGGGGATGGTCACGCAGCAATCCTGTCTCCTCTATTTTCCTTGTGGGGTTTCGAGCACAGGCACACGTGTACCTGGTGCATTTTTCAAGCCATCGGGTCTGGAACTCAAACCACGGAGTCAGTCATGTGGGGCCCAGTGCCTTAACCACCATGCCACCTGTTGGCCCCACAGGAAGAGAGATTTGGCAGAGCCCATGCTTATAGGCCAAATTGGTTCTGGACAGCAGATGCGGGACAGGAACAGGTAGGGCGGTGTACAGCAGAGATAGCTGAGGCTTCACTTGCTCCTGAGAACTTCATACAGAAGCCTCCTATATCTCAGCTTGGCCAGGAGGGCCAGAGAGAGACCTGAGGGCAGCCTGCAGATGCCTGGCCATTGAGAGACAGTGTGTGTGTGTGTGTGTGTGTGTGTGGCAGGAGGGATGAGGATGGTGTATGGCTAGAAGGGGCAGAGGACATGGGGCCACTTCTATACCAGAGTCAAAAGGACTAGAATCCAGCTCCATGGCGCAGATGTAATGTGCTGCTCAGGAGAGACCAGGACCCACATGGTGACTGGTTCGAATCTCTGGTCTGGTCACCTGGAAACACACAGCACACTCATGAATGCCCCGGATGTGATGACCAGAGGACTGGACAAGGGAGAGCGAGGTGTGACCGACGCTGTGGAGGGTGCTCCTTCCTCTCACTCCCATGTGTGCCTGCACACACTCCTCGTGAATGAAGATAAATAAGGATACATATATAAATAAATGACATAAACTGCTGTCAGAAGGAGCTCAAGGCTGGGGTGTCCAAAATACAACTTGACTATGGCCCAGTGTGCGGCTGAGGTGACCACGGCATGAAGAGGCACACAGAGAGGCAGGTCACTTGTGGGGGAGAATGCCAGGGCAGAGGCAGGTCTCTCGCGGGGAGAATACCAGGGCACAGGCCGTGAGAGCAGTGAAGTTTTAAAGCACCCTTGAACTGCCAGGTTAAGGTGACCACCGGTGGCAGATGCTGAGTGTGAAGAACTAAGTTATTCAAAAGGAGAAAGTGGCAGTTCTGTGCACCTGAAGCCCCAGTCTGTGGCCTGCCGCGTCCTCTGTGATGGTTTTAAAAATCCAAATATCTATGATGTGTATAGGGTATGCAGGTTCATAAGCAGAAAGCAGGAAGAAGGACAGGGAGAGAAAACGATAACTATGATTCTCTGACATACGGTGGGGCCGCAGGTTTTCTACCTGCCAGTGGGTTGTTGGAAGAGTCGCGATGTATTTTTTCTGTGTAAAAATGTGTCATGACTTTTCCGACAACCTAATATTTTCGTTGTTGCCAGATTAAGTCAAATTAATAATTAACTTATTAACTTTTTAAAAAACAAAAGCAATACCTATGCAGAACAGAAAATGCGCAAGTCAAAAGTTGACAGGTACAAAAGAGGAAAAATGTGAACAGTACAGAAATAAAAGCATACACATCTCCTGAATAGAGAGTCTATTACTTTTTGGGTGGAAGGGAAAAAAAAAGCCAAAAAACCTTCATTTTAAAAAGAGAATCTAAAATTTTTATTAATTTTTAAATTTTTTAAGAAATTGTTGCTAGAGGGGGCCAGCAGGTGGCATGGTGGTTAAAGCACTGGACACTCCCACATGGCCGACCATGGTTCAAGTCCCGGACCTGTGGCTTGCTTTCTCGCTTTCTCTCTCTCTCTCTCTGTTTCTCTGGTCAAATTAAAATAAATGAATGAATGAATAAAATTAAATAAATAATTCTTTAAATTTTTTTTATTTTGCTAGATGGAGTATGCGTTTGCCAGAGACAGAGAGACAGAAAAGAAAGAAATCAGGGGGGATGGCCACGCTGCAATCCCTTCTCCTCCACTCTCCTCTTGGGATTTTCAGGCATGTACGTACACGCGCACACTCAGTGTGATTTTTAAGCCAGCAAATCTGGGATTCAAACCACAGTCGTCCATGTGGGAGTCTAGCATAACCATTATGCCATCTGCTGCTCCCACAATCTAAAAGTTTTAAGCTTATTTCCTCTAATACAAATATTTCTTTTTGAGGTTAAGAAAATGTCTCTTTGGTCTCTTGGCTCACTATATATTTTACATGAATTGGAGTTGGTGGATGAAATCTAAAGGTTACTCAACAATATTTTAATGCAGAAAAGAAAATGCACAATAAATGGAGTTCCTTTTGGAACTCATGTACATAACTGTGGCAGGTTTTATTTCTCTTTCTCTCTCTCTTTAATTAATTAATTTAGGTTTTTGCCATAAAGTGCATGCGCTCTCTGGAGAGAGACAGAGATGGAGAGCGGAAAGTGAGAGATCAGGGAAGATGGCCATGGTGCAATCTCTTCCCTTCCATTCTCTTCCTGAGACTTTAGGCATGCATGCACAGGTGCCTTGTGTGATTTTCAGGCTGCTGGGTCTGGGATTCAAACCATGGTCAGCCATATGGGATATCTATTGATTATGCGATTACAGGCAAAATCCAGACTACTATATTGAGGAAAAAAAGCCATACTGCAACATAGTCAGAGGTTAGAGAGAGGCAGGTGGATAGGAGAGGAGGCCAGAGAACTAGGGCAGGTCTTCCAGAGGGGACAGCTGAACACCCAAGGCCTGCAAGGACGGTTCTGCAGAGCATCTGTGGCAATTAGGAACTAGCCCTCGGCTGAGACCCTAAGACAGTCAGTCACAAAGACTAGACTCTGGTTCGGTAAGGGAAATAAGACGAAGCAGACTTTGGGAGAGCTTGGGAGGTGGACTTGAGACTGCCTCAAACAGCTGCAGGTTAGACGTGGGAAGAAAAGTGATTTGTGCACCTGCTCTCCTGCTGGACCATTCTGCCTGCCCTCTGTAAAGTGTCCCCATCTTCCAGCCTAAACTATGAATGACTTTTATGGTCATGTATATTTGCTTTGCAGGAAGTTTTTGAGAAAATAAAACAGAACAGGAGATGAAATTTAGAGGGAAAGGAGGGGAGAGGATAATAATGTGGTATGAAGGCAATTTGGCTAATATATCCTAGTTAAAAGAAATCATCCTTTTGGTGTTTTGAGACTGCAGGAAAATGGAATGCTGTTCCCGAGTGCTGAGCTTATAGTGTGTGAAAGTCAGGAATCCAGCCTCAGCATCCAATCTCGGACACCACAAATGTTTATGTTGTATTGAGGTGGAAAGTGAATTAAACTCTAACACAGAGTCTCAATTATGAAACTGCTGCCTTACATTTTAAATACCTGCCAGGCACTCGGTAGCTGCTTTTGTGAAGAGAATTGCAGTGTGAGACATTCTCCCTCCCACGTTAATGGAAACCAAGCACTTGAGTATTATAAGGGAAATTCAATACAAAGGCATCTGATTGTGTTATTCTTATTATCAAACTTTTGCACAATGGACACATGATGAAGACCATATATTAGAGAATTTTTAATATTTAATATTTAAATGACACACGAAGTGACTACTTATTAAATTATTAAAACAAAGAATAGAATAATACATACTCTCTTCCATAATATTTTGGTCTGTTTTCCACCTATATTAAAAAGAAGAAAAATATTAATAATGCATTAATATTCAAATAAGACAGATAAAAATGCTATTCAAATAAACAGAGCTAGGGTCCTGGAAGTAATTGTATTACACATTTTATTCCCCAAATCAAAAATACATGTAACCATGGAGTTAATCAACACATTCTGCTATCTTGGGTAGGAAAGATCTAGAATTGTCACAAATTTTAAAATTAATAGACTCGTTCCCCAGTCAAACCCAATCAGAGAATAGGAAGCAAAATGTTGCTTATTTTAATATTAAAGAACTTATAAAGATATTATAAGGCTTCATCCTGAAAGATAAAATGATTGATATCATGAAGTATTTATTTTAATCTTTATGTAATTGTTTTGTTGTACACTTATTAAAAAAAAAAAGGAGTGTGCCTGGTTTCAAAAATAAAGCAGGCTTAATTTGATCTCTTTCCCAATAAAATCAATATTTGAACATTCTTATTTTTCAATAAATGGCTAATGAGCTGAAATTCATTTGTTACCAGAGACACAGAATATAGAAGGCAGGATTTATGGCTTGACTAAAACCTAAACATTCCAGAAAACAATTTTTGACCACAGATTTAGCCTTAGGGTTATCCCATTCCATTTTTATCATATATATAATAATATAATGTTTTCATAAGAAGTTTGTATTCTTAGGTTTATGGGATTTGTAGTTGGTGAGAAATTAACATGAATTCTCATGTTCAGCTTTTTTTCTTCTAGTTTTATTCCAGGGACACTCAAAATGTAGTAGAGCCGTATTATGTTGTAGATTTTTATTGATGGTGATACATACGACAGGAAGTTTATGTTTATTTACTGGAGAAGATGAGCCTGGCTGTGATTTCATCTATGGCCATTTCTCTTTGCAGTCAGTTTTCTCAGCATGGCTCATAGACCAGATAGTGTGAGATCTGAAGGCTCTTGGCAGTTTCTCTGCGTACTCTCACCCTCCAAAAGATACATCTGAGTGGGCAATCAGGTGGTAAGGATTAGGGGAAAGGGCTCAGAAAGGGGGAGTTGGGGCTTTGAGGACAAGCTTTACAATTCAGCTGAGGGCAAGACTGTTGGGTATAAAACTCATCATTTAGAGACTTCTAAACATGCATTCACTCTTCGGTGCATTTTACAACTGAAAAGTAATCCAAAAAGTGGTGATTCAGGCACTGGTTAAGGCCACATGACTGACCACATATCAACTCTTGGACATGGCAGCTTGAAAATCCTTCCAGGCACAATGTATGTGAGCATGCTCAAAATCCTGAGAGGAGAATAAAGAAGGGATTGTGACATGGCCACCCTCCCCCAGGGGATTCATTTCTCACTCTTTCTCTCTGTCTCTCTGTCCTCTCTCCAGTGAGCATATGCACCCTATGGTGGGGACAAGGAAAAAAAATAAATAAAAGGCATTCACAAGGCTTAAAGCCTGCTCAGTGTCATGCATGAAGAAAGATTTAAATAGCATTAATAGAAGCACAAAGTATGTAAAAAGGCACCTTATAATCTGATATCCTTTTTATAAATGACGTGTATGATTACATTTTGATAAGCTTTTTAAAATGAGTTGAACAGTCTCTCATTTATATCATTCTAGTGGCTTTCAAAGTTCTTTCTTACTTCTAAGATACTGTAGATATCAACTGCAACATTAACATGCAACATTAACAGAAGCAATGTAAAACTAGAAAAGCCCCCAAACATAACAGGCAACTTATCCCTCCATTCTTTGAAAGTCACTATTCCAAATTTTGAAATGATTTTTTTTAGATAAGAACACTTTTTTACTTCTTTTCTCTTTTTTTTTTTTTTTTTTTTTTTGACTGAGCCATGACACAAGTTTGCAAAATCTGGGTATAACTCCCAAACCTGTTCCCTTCCTCTATTTTATTTCTCCCAAAGAGGAAGAATGATTAATCCAACTAACCAGAGGGACAGAATAGTAGATAGACCCTACTATTAAGTCCTGGCATGCAGGTAAGTAGTTAATAAATGTGGAATTTAATTGACTCTTAACAAGACAACAAATTGCTTTCAGTTCATCCATCAGTCATAAAAATATATGGCACACTTATTAAGTTCAGGGCTCTGTGCTCAGGCCTGTCATTGTTGTGAAGTAATGACCTTGAGGATGCAGAGAGGAGATGTATCAGGGCTCAGGGATGCTCTGAATTTGCAGCAGGAGGGGAACACAGAAGGAGAAATTTAACATGGGCCGCCGAGTAGAGAAGTCAATATTTATGGTAGCTTAAGGGATGCCAAATACGATTCTGCCCAGAGGAGAGTTTGATCCAATTGAGGGACAAATTACATATGGAAACCCCTAGAAAATAAAACAAGGGCACTAAATTGTGTGGAGAAGACCACACATGGAATAGGGCCCTGGAACAGGTCCCAAATATTATTCTTTGTTAATTGGAAATTCAATTTTAAATAGGCATTCATACTTAGATTATTTTTTCATTCTCCACTCCTTCCATCCCTACCCCAAATCTGGCAACCCAATACATGGAAAGAATGAAAAGAAGGAGAGTGTGGTGGGCCATCTAATCACTGCTCCTATGGACTTGGAGCTGTCTTGATGGCAATCTGATTCTTTTTTTTTTAAAATTTTTTATTTTTAGAGAGATTTTCGCTATAGGGTGCATGCGTTCACCAGACAGACAGAGAGAGCCAGAGAGACAGAAATGATCCCCCAGGGGGATGGTCACGCCGCAATCCCTTCACCTCCATTCTCCTCTTGGGATCTTGAGCACACACGCACACGCGCCCAGCGTGAGTTCTAAGCCACTGGGTCTGGGACGTGAACCGCGGTCGACTACGTGGGAGTTCAGTGACATAGCCATTACACTAACTGCTGGTTCCCGCAATCTGATTCTTTTTCTTTCCTTTCCTTTGGTGTCTCTGTAACTCTAAAATAAAATACAGCTGTCCTTGTAAAATAGAGAAATAATGGCTAGGATAAAACAAACAAACAAAGGAATAAAAAATATCTCTCTTTTCCTGAAGTTTTGCTCATAAGTATCTAAGGAAAACATCTATCTTTATACTTCATTAAGCTATAAACCAACCAAAAACTTAATTTTTAAGTGAAATGACAATAGGAAAATCTTAGAACATTTGCACATCTCTAAGTTGAGTAGTAACTACTGGATCCTCAGATCTAGGGGAAACATAGTCAGGGCTCTTAGGGACAAGAGACGTGCCTGGAGAGACCAATAACCTCCATGCTGTGACCCAGCAGAAGCCTAACTCATTCACTCCCCTGAGTCGGAAACTGCCTATGGAATGAGGATTTGTTTTATTAAAGAAGCCAAATTTGTTTTATTCAAGCAGCACTGAGTTTCAGTTGTATGAGATTCTCTTCAATGAGACAGAAGATACTTGATAAATATGGCAAGTCAGAAGTTTTTAGATTCTCATTGAGGATTACGTTTGCTAAAATCAGAAAACTTGATAAAAAAAAATGGAGGGCTTATTAGGTGGCCGGGTGGATTCAGAAAGGGAAGGATGGATGAAGGTTGTTTTGGAGCTTCCCAGCCTTTGTGGCTACCATAGAAGAATAGCCAGAGGCGGTCAATCTACCACTTTGGTGAACCTGGTCATTGTGGATATTAAAACAGAGATCGATCTGCCCCGCCTGCTCTTGGGATTTAGTACTCCAACTCTGAGAAGTGAAAAAAGCTCATCAATTTATTGGCAAATTACTAAATCCTCCAATACTGGATGCTTGGATGATTTATCTAGTTCAGAAACAAATAAAATAACTCTCCATATGGAAGAAGAAACCCAAGCAGGAGATTACTGAGTGAGAAAACACAATGGTACGGTCCTGCCGAAGGCACTGGTGGGTTCAGTGTTTGTGACCATGCGAATAGTGGCTGTTTCTTTTAAAAATAATCATTGAATATTTGATTCTAAATAAACACCATCTACAGGAGAGTAGTCCCTTGGAGTTGATATCCCTGTTGATCAGAAAAAAATTCAAATTCCTGGGGACCAGTTGTTGGTGTAATGGCTATGTCACTGGACTCCCATGTAGCCAACTGCAGTTTGAATCCCAGACCCGGTGGCCTAAACTCATGCCAGGCAGGTGTGCATGTGTGCCCAAGATCCCAAAAGGAGAATGAAGGAGAAGGGATTGTGGCGTGGCCATCCCCCAGGGGGGAATTCCTTGCTTTCTGTCTCTCTGTCTCTCTGGCGAGCGTACTTGCCCTATAGCAAAAAAACTCTCTGGAAAAAAAAAAATCAAATTCCTCTTTTGAACTGCATAAAGAAAGGCTACCTTTCTTGTAGATATCCTTAGAGCTGAATTTCTGAAAGTATGGTGTGGCCATTCAAAACAAAAACTTCAGGATGCATGTTAAAGACTGAAGATTCCAGCTTCTTACCTCAGAACAACTGAGCCAGAATTACCCAAGGTGGGGATATGTTATATATTGAACCACGTCCCCCTAGATGGCTTTTAAACACATACTAAAGTTAGAGCCACTGGAGAATACATATTTCTAAATATGTATTTGTTTTTTGAGAGTGGATTCAAGAGTGGATGTTATTTTGACAAATAAGTTATCCAGAGCTAAGATCAGTAAGCGAGGTAAGTGATCAAACTAGGAAATACATTTGAGACAAAAATGAGTCCTGATCATAAGCTAGGAACATTTTCACCGTGACTTGCTCTGAAGATATTTTAGAAGAGACGTTCCCAACATGCTCAGAGCAACGGGAACTTGGCAGAAACAAAAGCAGAGCTGCTCAAGATGACGGATGGAAAGGGACGGTGCTCATGTAATACATGTGTGAAAAGAAAATCTAGCCCATCACGTTGTAGTCGCATCTCACATATAACAAATGACCAGCACTGTGAATCGAGGATGTCTGTGGTCCTGTCCTGCTCTGTCCTCACTAGCCGTACGCTGTGTTTCCATATGTGAAGCCAATGCAGATGCCATGGCTTCCATTCTAACAGCCTCATTATCTCATG